CAGCTTCTCTGTTGGATTCCTGACCACGCTTAAATTGGTTTTAGACAGTAATGAAAATTTAAAAAAAGCCAAGGTTATGTTTAAACCTCTTAAAAATTAAAGAACATAAGTCTTAAATTGGTTTTAGGCAGTAATGAAAATTTAAAAAAAAAAGCCTAGGTTATGTTAAAACCTCTTAAAAATTAAAGAACATAAGCAAATGTCATATTTCACAAAATTATTTTCTGTGATTGGAGTGCTCGGAATGAACCTTTGTTTGAATACGTTTATGTTAATTTTAGACTTTCCATTCTTAAAAATTGTCCACAATTTTCATGCAAATGTTTTGATAGAAATAAAAATTACATTCATAAAAATATTCAGAGCTGATTAAATCCAGGGAATGCATACATCTGTTCAGTTTGAATGTTTTACTTCTTTTCTCCTGTCAAAAAAGTATGGATTAAAGTGCACAAATATATAATTTAATTTTTTTTAATAGATTTTGAAACTTGGTCTCTTATCCTAATTGAGAGCAGGTGCTGAGGAGAATATTTGTAATTTCTAATATTGTCAGAGTCTGTAGTCTATGTGTTCTATGGTATTTCTCAATGTTCCTCATCATTTCAGCATGTGAAGCAGTATATACACGCAGGAGATTTGCTTCGGCATCGCAAGGACTATCGTGCTGGAATTGAACGCCTGCAACATTGGCTGAGGAATGCAGAATCAGTTCTTTCATCCTCACAGCTCAGTTCCACAGAGAGAATAAAACTTTATGGTGAACAATTACAGGTATTTAACATAAAATTCTTTTGTTTTTACTACTTTAATTGGTGCATTTTAACTTTTGTCAAGTCTTTGGCGTGGTTTACACATTCTGTTTGCAATAAAATTCTTTTGTTTTTAGTACTTTAACTGGTGCATTTTAACTTTTGTCAAGTCTATGGCGTGGTTTACACATTCTGTTTGCAATGAATAACAATAGCGTCCTGTTAATCCAATAAATAACCTTATAGTTAAAGTCTGTCTGGCAGTCCCATTTGCTGTACTGAACAAAAATTAATAAAAAGGTACAATTTTTTCAGCAATTACAAAATGAAGTTGAAAGCATAGAAGATCTCTTCAAACACGTCAGCAAGAAATTCCAGGCTATGATTCAAGATCTTTCAAGAGATGAGGTGGACCGAATCATGAATACACTCAAAAAGGAGAAAGGTAAACAGTTTTATTCAAGTTCATAAATTTCTTTCTTTGAAGAAAGTTGTGTTTGGCAATGGCACACAGTTTTCATTAAATAAATTGTTAAGAATTTTCAAAAATTCACGATCAGTATTTAGAACGATTTGGAAGGTTAATTCAGGTGAGAAAATTTTTAGATGAAATCTAAGAACATAAAAAATAAAATATGACACACAACCAATAAAATGTCTACCATATTTTACTCGAGTGAACACAACATAATATAAGTGACGTGTGTTCAGTAACCCCCACTAAAGTTTAATGTTTGATTTTGCATCATACCGTTTAGACACAGAATTTTTTACCCATGATAAGTTTGGAATTCTCATCAAAACTGTAAGTTGCCAAATTACATAAAATGTGTTTTACTTGAGCATCAGTATGTTGTGTGAGAGATTGAAAAATTACATTCAACATTTCAGAGGCACTGGTAAGAGTACGGGCTCTCATTCCCATGCAGTTACATCTGTTCCACCAAATCCTGGTCCAGCAAGAATCACTTGAAGCTGGCCAGATTGAAATAGGACATTGGCTGGATGAGGCTGAGGCTGTCTTAGCCTCACATTCACTAGCAGGAGGAAAGGAGCCTGTACAAGCCCTGCTGGATAAGCATAAGGTAGAGCTGTGTTCTGTTTCGTTGTCATGAAAAGATTTCACTCAAAAAATGTTATTTCATTACAGTTTTATTCTCCCTTGGATACTCAGTTTATTCCTTTTCTATGACTGACACTAACATCACATAAATATGTGTTACAATTAGGCACTTTACTGCATGAAGCAATGTTGTTGTACTGTGTACCATGTATAAATAAAATACGAGTAATGAACCTTTGGATTCCATAAAAAGTCAAGAATTTCTTGACTAGCTAAGTGATTATTAGCTGCTCAAAAAATGCTGCGCTCCTCAAGTTAGTGCTACATAACAACAAAGTTAGTGATCAACGTTTAAAAATTAAAATATTTCTAGCAGTACGCTATCCACGTTGCTTAAAAATCAGTTGAAGGTGAATGGACTGAAGAGATAATCTGACATTATTTTGTTACAGACATTCTTCTCCAGAACACTGTACTATAAGTCAATGTTGGAAAGTAAAAACAAAGTGTTCCAGAGCATTGTGAAGTCGGTAGACCACAGTGAAGGCATCGACACTGGTGACTTCAGATTAAGGATGGCACAGCTGAATGAGAGGTTTATCAGGGTTAACCAGCTGGCTCAGCAGTGGGAACTGGTGGGTCATTAACTATTGTACTGATCCAATAATGACAAAGTTATCTTTTCATCTGCAGATCTTCATACCTATTCATGGTTTTTGAAGAGGTCTCAGCCTTTTAGGTTTTGTTAGATAGAATGCATGTTATGTGCCCAAAATATATCAACTTTTCCTTCATTTTATAATCTTGATATTGTTAGGTGAAAAGTAAAAACAAGAAATCACACTGTTTAATGTTTTATCATTTTCTAGTAATTACTCCATATACTGATCTCAAAATTGGTCCCTTAAACAAATATTGCCTTCTTTCATACAATTATAAAAATAAAAAAATATTAAAAATATAAGTAATATATACATTCAATGTGGTGTATGATTTGAAATTCTGTGAACTGTTTCTTTAAAAAAAATGTTCTGGATTCTATATACAGTTGTTGTCTATCACATTTTTTGTCAGTATAACAACAATCATTTTTGAAGAAGACTGTTTAAAATTAAGTATATAAATGATATCATATGATATTTGCTTGTTTAACAGCTCAGAATTTTAATATCATTATATTGCTTTAAAGTTATTTTGATTCTGCCAGAGTTTGGAATACTTTTTTTAAAGGCAATTTTGCTTTGTTCTGTTGTGTGTTAATAATTTACATGTTATAATGATATACTATTTTATAGAAACTTCAAGAGGCTATCCGTTGCTGGCATAATTTCTGGGAGGCTGAACGCATCATCACCGAGTGGCTGCAGAAAGCAAAGAAACTGATTTCTGAGAAGCATATAGACACAAAGCAGACTGTAGAATCTCATAAAGTGAGTGGTTTAGCTTTATTTCAGTCTCCAACTTGGATAAATCATCCAAGAAGCGTAGTTTTTACTGTCTTTGTGAAGTGCCATTGACAGGTGTGGTCATTTCTCTACCACGTGATAACTTGGTTTACTTGTATCTTATCTTATTTTTAAAGTAGTTAAGTGCACATTGGTCACTAGGCAAGTTTTAATATGAATTGTTCTTGTTCATTCTTTGATGAATGATATTGTTATTAATATTATTTTCAGAACTTCTTTGAGAAGGTCAATGAGAAGTGGATTCAAGACTTAGTAAACTCAGCACAGGATTTAAGAAACTGTCTTCCACATGAACAGCATCCTCCAGTAGATGCTGCTGTTGAGAAACTTCAAGCTAAATGGAAGGTAAAATGTATTACTGAAACATATTAATTTGTCATGTTGGCTTATTTTCCTATGCGTGAAGATAATTTGTCGTAAATATGACACATGATATTGAGCTATTCTGTTTTTAGGAAGTTTTATCCTTTGCACCTCTTCACCTGATGAGGCTGGAATTCCGGCTGGACGAGGCTGCATTCAGCCAGTACCTGAAAGATATAGAAAAAGAAATTCATTCTGAACAGCAGGCATTTAATAAACATGAAGATGTTGAAGCTATCCTGGCTAGAAACAGGGTGAGAAATGTTTGTATTGCATACTGATTCACAGTCACCTTGAAATATATATTTCCTAAATCAAGGCTGTTTTCAGAATCTTGTTGTTTATTATGTATAATACTGAATTCATACTAATTAATCATGTAGATAAGCAGTCTTAATAAGGTGTCAGCAAGTCAGTATCACTTGCATGATTCATCTATTTCTGATTGTCTTTATCCCCTTTTGCACATGTTTGTATTAGTTAATTAGTGGAATGTCTGTTCATAAGTTTGAACCTTCATTTTTTTTTTTTTTTGGGGGGGGTGTCAACCAACAACAACCCTGTTGGTATGAAAACCAGTTGACAGATGGTAATCTGACTCCATTTTTCTGTGCATATGATATGTGACTCAGACAATGGACAGTGTCCACCACAATCATGATATTTATATTTTTATTTGTTTTAAATATAAGCCTAACCTAACCCACAAATTTTATTTTTGTGTGTCACTAATAGTGTCCTTATATTCCATTCTCCTGAATATGCATATTTACTGCCAAATATTACTTTTTAAGTTTCCACTATGAATGGTAATAATTTCTCTTATTGTTTCTATACAGGAGTTCTTTGTAGAGCGCATCGTGGTTTCGGAAGTGGAGCGGTGTCTAGAGAACATGGGTAAAATCAGTAATAGTTTTAATCAGTGGGATCCACATGACTCATCCTTGCGAGAAGCTCACAGTAGGGCTGTGACACAGTGGGAAGTTACATCCCAGAAAATTAATACCATCTCACAGCAACTTCAGCAGATTCCTACACTGTGGAAGAACTACCAACAAAAGTAAGTGTACAGTGTGCAGTTACATACTCATTTCTTCAAACTGAAGTGAATTATGTATTTCTCAGTACATTCAATATAGATGTACTAAATTGACTAATGTTTTCCATAATATACAGCCAGAAGAATTCAATGTCAAATGTTTCATTATGTATTTTATTTAGTCAATTTAGTGTAAGAATGGATATTGAAAAACACTGATTTAAAGATTTATGTGCAGTTTAAATAAGTAACTTTGGGGTATTTAAGAATTCAACTTTAATTAAAACTTTTTAAAGAGTAAGGTTAGCAAAAATAGTGTTTGAAACTTTGGTTTCATGCTTGAAGAAATTATTCCAAATTTCTGTTATGAAAACAATTATATGATGATGTATCTTATAGTATTTTCTTTTCCATTTCAGATTTTTGGAAATGGTACAATGGATGGATGTAGTGGATGTTAGTCTTCTGAACATAATGAAAGAAGTTAACACTCTTGAGGAATTTGAAAACGAAAGGGCTGTGTTCCAGGTCTGTTTAAACAGTGTCCTGTAAGATATTGCCTTAATTAGTTAAATAAAGTGTAAATGGTAACTGATGATTGATGATATGTGGAAGGGAAATGATGGCTGTGGACTAGATATTGAGTGCCATTGAATAATTATACACACGTATTCAGAAACATATTTGTTTTTCTCTTTTACAGGGAATCTGTTGTGAAGTAGATGCAAAGAGGGAGGACATGAAGTGGTTGGTACAAACTCTGGACTCACTTGTATCGTACTGTTCAGATGAGGAGTCACTAGCCGAGCAGAAAAAATTAGAACAGCTCATTATCCGATATAAGAATCTCATCCCAACAATAGAACTCACCATGGTGAAAACTGATGTCCACTATAAGTGTTATACTTACCGAAAAGAAGTGAGGGAGGTATGTAGGAAGTCACAAATAAATATAACCTTATTTATGTTTCAAATCCATATTATCTTTCCAAATGTGTTCCTATTCTCAGACACCCATGGTATAAGTCTTGCAATTATATTGGGTGTTCTAGGTGGTTGGGCTCCTGCAGAAAGTTAAAGAAACATCCATGTCAGGTCCACAGCCAGAGACTTTGGATTCGGTAAATGTAATGATCAAACAGCAGGAGTCAGCTGTCACACAACTGGACCACCAGAGAAGTAACATTATGAGCATGTTACAGCGTGGCAAGGACCTTGTCAGAGACACCCATGCTCCAGTCTTCATCAAAACTGAGGTTTCCAGCCTTGAAACTGGTTGGAATGAAGCTTATGGACAGACTGTTGAGAAACTCAAGAAACTCAAAGGTGAGAAATTTTAAGTAGTGACAGGGAAATTCCCTGCCTTTTCTTTTACTTAATACATACTGTTACTGTAACTATATCCTTATTAATTTATTGCTTTAAATATTTAATGCAGGCACACAAAAAGTATGGACAAACTATAAAGAACAAAAGGATGAAATCATAATGCTGTTGGAGCAAGCTGAAGGTGAATTAAAGAAGGTTGCTCCTGTTGCTTATGACAGCCAAAAGGTAGCAGCTGACTTACAGGCTAAGCAAGATATCAGTATTGCCCTCAGAAAAGCTACTGAGGAAATGCTTCTCAAACTCAGGGATCTCTGTTCTACACTCACTACAATGACAGCTCCTGAAAGGAAGCCTCTGCTTCAGAAAGAAGTAAGTTCTCATAAGGAATATTCAGTAACTTAACATATGTTATCATATATGATTCTGTCATAATGTTCAGAAAAATGAGAAATGGGTATAGACTATTTTTCAGTGAGACAAATTTGAATTATACTAAACATTTTAATTTAATTGTTTAAACTTTCATATTGGTGTGTGTGTGTGTGTGTGTGTGTGTGTATCATGTCATGTCATGGTAGTCCATCACTGATTAATATTTAATTGAATTATAAATTTATTATGAATTTTATTTTGATTTCTGTGTCAGATACACAGCATCATACTTGAATTTTGTTTGCAGGTGACTGAAATTGAACGCCGTCTACATGTGACATTAGAGACAGTTGAAGAACGTGTGATATACCTGGAACAGTTCAAAGCTCGCTGGACTCGATTCCAAGCCCAACTTGGTGAACTTAGAAATTGGACTCACCAGAGTGCTCCTGCACTACTAGAACAGCTGCAGGCAACAGACCTGACACCTGAAGAGAGGGTGAAGAAGTCACAGGCTCTTCAGGCACAACTAGAGGATAAAATTAATGTCCTTGATGTGCTTAGCGGCGAGGCCAGGGAATTGCTGCAAGGTAATCATTAAGAAATTAACAAATCTTTTATAAAGTAACCTGAATGGGAAATGTTTCAGAATTTGCATTCTTTTTGGCAGAAGCTATACACGTTACTGTGAAAGAAATTTGTTAAGGTTCTCTAAAGCAATTGATTTTAGTAAAACTTCATCTTAGGGAGGTACCACACTGTGAAGACTGTGGAACATGAGAACTGAACCTGTGATATGGATGTCTTTAAAATGAAGAGCTTTAAATGAGTGTTTTATTGCAGCTATGTTTAGGATAACAATGTGAGTTGCAAAATTTGACTCAGAGAAGTTCTGTTATAGCCAGTTATATATTATTGCTGTTATTGATTGCAGGAAAGGTGGGGTAATTTTTATGAAAATTTTTCAGCTTGTTCAAAAACTTTGAAAAGGAAGGGGGTGTTTAACATAGCTGGACACATGGACATGAACATACCTTATGTCTATCTTTACTTAAACATAACAAAAATAAGCTAAGAATATGTACATATGAGGACCAAAATTTAAAAGCAATGAGTCAATATTTTTTTAATTTACAGAAGATGGAGAGAATGTGGAAGCTGCTCAACTGAAAACAGAAGTAGTAGCATTACGAGACTCTGTCCTGGGCCTGCATAAAGCTGTTTTAATGCAGATCTCATCAGTGGGCCAAGATCTAACCCACTGGCAGGATCTCAAATCAGGACTGCAAGAAGTGAAACCATGGATAGAGCAGGCTGAAGTTAAAGTTAACATGGGCATACCTAAGCCTCTGTCATTACAGGAGGCACAACAGCTATTTGACTCTGCCAGGGTGTGTACTGTATGTGATTGTGGATATGTTCTAAATTAACAAATTGTCACAAAAATTACTTACTTCAGGGTGTTTGAACATCCTTGTTTTCAAACTCAGGAAGCTTGAATATTAATTTAAACGTTGTTTCAAATTCTCAGATAATACCTTTAAGTAGACCATAACTGTTTCCTTTCACACCCATCCCCATACATCATTCATAATCATCCTGCCATTCAATAGTCAGCAAAGAATAATTAAAAAAAACATTAAACAAACACTGAAAGTTCTTGAATCACAAAAGTAATGGAACAAAAGGTTGAAAATTTCACAAAAAATACGTAAATGGTGCAGGAAGTATGGCATATGATTATGTACATATTTCATGGGGTGTGGATATTAAAACATGATTCAGTTAACATAGTGGTACTTATTTTGAATTTACAGGTGTTTGAGAAGCAGTGTGAAGAGAACTTAACCAAACTTCAGGGTATTGCTGCCCTGAGTCAACAGATTACATGTCGCACTAGTGCTCCAGATGAGGTGGATGCTATCCACTCACGATGGGCTTCCGTCCATGATGTAGCAGTGCAGTGGGGAACCAGGCTTGAGAAACTTGTAGCGACGTGGGAGGAATTTGAAAATGAGGCTGAGAAAATAGATACATGGATACAAGAAGGCCAGAAGGCAGTCCTTGAGACTCCTGTCAGTCTCAGCTCTCCAGACTTGGATAAGTTGGAGAAGGAACTTTTAAAACTCAAGGTGAATGTATCAGCTAGCATCGTGTAGACCAAAAGTCTTAAGAAATCAGTACATAGATTGTACATTCACAAATAGAATTACCAACTGTGATAACCATAATAATCATTGCCATCATCATCATTGTAATCATTGCTTTAACCACAGTAGTAGTATTAGAATGACAGTAATTACAATATACACACATGCACATACAAGTACCATGGAGAATTCCTGTTTTGTAGTCACGATACCATAGTGTTTGACTGTTCACATTACTTGACATATGTGTGGATTATACAAAGCATTTTAATAAACTGCATCATTACTTGTGATCCAGCTGTCTCTGTGTCACAACCAGCCTGCTGCTAAACCAGGAGTCCCTTAATTTGGAGGGTTTAATCACCTGTACATGTATAATAAAGGTTAAGTTCACAACAGTGAAAAGCATTCTGGGAGTATTGAAGTCAAGATAAGGTTCCTCAACTTTATTTGTTTATTTTTGCAGGCTTTCAACAAAGAGATATCTGACAGACAAACACAATTGATTACTTTAATGCAAACGTCAGACAACATTGCTCAGGGCCTGGCAATGGAAGGTGGAACAGCAGTGAAGGGAAGAGTTAATGAGATGAAAGCCAAAGTCACCAAGTTGGCTGAGGATGTGAGGCAAAAGCTGAATGCAACTTCCGATACCATACTGGCAAGGTCAGTAATATGTTCACTATGCGGTTATGTTAGGTAGCTCATATATAGTATGTCTAGGGATGAAGGTCATGAATGTGAGTTTCATTATTTTATTAATCTGTTCCATTCATGATCCTGAATATTCCTGTGATATCATTCTGTTCATGTAACTTTAAGAACAAATGAAACACTTTTAATATATAAAATGAATTCCACAAGTAAGCAGTGGATTCTTCAGCCATTCATAATGGTCACATTCTGGCAAATGGACCTGAACTGTTATACTACTGATATATTTTCTGTCTTGTTATTTGTTACAATAAATATTTAATAATGTTTGGATATTTTTTCAGACAAGAATTCCAAGGAAAGGTTGAAGACTTCGAGAAATGGATGGATCAGCTGGGTGCTGGTGTTAGCGAGATAGATGAGATAACCTTGGATCAACTTGATTCAGCACTTCAGTCTGTTCATGCTTTACTACAGGAGCATTCTGAGAAGCAGCCTGCGTTCAATGTGATTTATGATGAAGTCAAGAAATTGCGTTCGAATAGTCCAGATGAAGCATCGTCTGTCAATGAGACATACACAGGACTTGTGACTAAGTACCAGGTACTTGTAAGAACTATATTTGTCAAGACAATTATACTTTAATATTATGTTCTCAGGCAAACATGTGTTAGTGCCTGTTATAGAGTCAAGTTCATAATTTCTTTATCATATATTTTATTAAAACATGGTTTTTGCAAAACATAATTATTCATCTCTTATGTTCATTTTACTTTTTCAGCTATCTGATCTTTACCTTCTTCATGTATCATAATAAAACATACTCTCACTTTGAATCTGAAATGCGTCTCTATGTTATTTAAGAATTCAGTCCATATCTCAAAATAAAACACAACATTTTTTTCATTACAAAGATCAACCGGTTAATGCTGTTCAAGGAAATGGTTGTTGTTATTTATGCTGAGAATCATATAAATCCAGAAATACAAAGTGCAGAGTTTTTTTAACGTTAAAGCAGGCAGTACATGTAGTTACCACTGGGCTTTAAAGAGCTATATATTAAATCTTTACAGTGTTTTTCCTTAACCTACTTGGGTCTACTCTTGAAACATTATTTGCTGCAGTGGATTAAGTAAATGGTTGACTTTGACTAATATGCCAGTGATGGAAGATCGCAATACATTCTGTATCTTATTAAATACAAGTTTTAAGTGTAATATTTCAGCGTAAGTTTCAGTTGAATTATAAGTGATATGTTATCTATTTTTAATATTATACTATTGTTATAGGATCTTGAAGATATGCTTCAAAAGAAGAAGGGTGCACTTGAAAAGTGGTCTGATCTTTTAAGTTGGTATGCAGATACTAGTGACCAATTGAACCATATGAAATATCAGCTAGAGGGTCAAAAGCCACGTTCTGAAGACGTGGAATGCTTTGAAGAAGAAATAGAAGTGGTAAATCTGAAGATTTCACCCTGGAAAGAGGTGGCTCCTTTTATAGATGATGTGAGTCAGCAAAGTGGAACTTACGTCAGAGACACAACAACTGGTAAATGTGTTACTGCTGTTGCTTTGGTGCATGAACTGGAGACTAAAGCAGATGCTTTGAAGGCGCAGCTCTCAAACAAAAGGGAGGTTCTTGAAGAGGTTGGTGCTCACTGGTCACAGTTTCAGTTGGTTCAACAGAATTTATCTGATGGATTACTTGCAATGCAGGGTACTGTTCAAGATACTGTCATGGAAATGGACAGCTGTGATAAGTTAGAAGAAGCTGTTAAGAGCATTGGTGGACTTCTGGAGGAACATAACCTAAAACAAGGTACCAGGGACATATTGCACAAACAAGGAAAGATACTAATGGAGAAAGATCAGAGTAACATATCTACTATTCAAAATATTTTGGCTTCCCTTGATGCTAACTGGGAAAAAATAAATGAAATGCTGAAGGAACAGAAGGCTAAATACTTGGAAATGAATAGTGCTTGGAAGCATTTCTGTGATGCAATGGAGGAAGTGTATTCTATGATTAATGAAGCTGAAACTCTGTGCCAGTCAGTACAGGAGAGTCCCAGTGACCTGACGCAGGCAGCTGTCACTCACGATAAGACTAAGAAGGCCCTGGAGATTCTAAAGAAAGCCAAATTATTACTTGATACAATGGACAGCAAAGGACAGATACTTCTTAAGCAGGCAGAACCTATTTCTGGATTCAACACTGCTGTGATAGCAGAGAAACTCTCAGAAGCTCATAATGCATGGCAGCATGCTTATGATACCTTGACAAAGAAAGTGCAAGATTTAGAGACTCAGTTAATTATCTGGAAGCAAATTGATGAATCAAAGAATGAAGTTTTACGGTGGCTTGGGGAAACAAGTGATGCACTGTCAGATGCTTCACAGGATTTTTTTGACGTTGAAAGTGGACTGTCTGGATTGAATAAATATAAAGATGAACTACCAGCACATTATAACTTGAAGGCTAGCATAGCATCTAAAACAGCTCAATTGGTCAAATTTAATGATGGAAAACAAATTCCAACTCTGGAATCTCTGAACAAATTATTGGAAGATGAATTTGCTCATATGAAGGGCATAGCTGACAAGCTAGAGGAAATTGTGTGCACTGTCGGAGAACAGGAGAAGAATGTTCGAGATGAAATGAAGAAAGCGAGCGATACTGTTACAAAGATTAGAGAAGCAGTTATCAGATGTGATGATCTAACTGGTGAAAATGCAAAAATCTTAGAAAGATTGAAAAACTGTCAGAAATTGAAATATGAACTTCAGAGTTTTGGTTCTGTTCTGGAACATTTGAAAGAGAAAATTAAAGAAATTAAGTCAAGTTATCCAGCATTTGGTGATTCAGGACTATCAAAGGAACTTAGTGGCCTGCAGAAAAGGTATGATGGGGTTTCATCCCATGCGAACAAAATTGAATCAACACTCCTCACATTTTTAAATAAATATCACATGGAAAAGTTTAGTGCTGTACAGAGAGGTGTAACAGCACACAAAGAAAAAGTGGTGTGGTGTTTGCCTGAACCAGGAAGTGACAGGTACAATTTGGAAGTGAAGATTTCATCCCTTCAAGATGTAGAAGTTGGATTGTTAGACTGTGAGGCCAAGAAAGCAGATCTTGATGTGTCTTTGCACCTCCTTGAGAATGTGGAAACTCCTGAAAAGATTAAAGAACTACAGACAGAAAGAGACCGATTGGTAACTGAGTTGGAAAGCCTTAGGAACAGCTTTTCAAACACAAAACAGTCACTGGAATATAACATCAACCTGTGGCAAAAGTATGAACTCATGTCTGAAAATGTGGCATCCTGGCTGAAAGAAACTGAAGGAAAAGTTCGTACAGAGAGTGTGATCCAGCTGAATTTGTCTACAATTGATGATAAAATTAAAGAGACAGAATCCTTCCAAAAACAGGTGACAGATTTTGAGTCAGAAATTAAAGATATTTCCTTGTTAGGAGATGAGATTGTGAAGGAAAATCCAGAATCTCGTGTAGGTCAGTATGTTGGTCATCTTGTCACCAGATATCAGGGAGTTGTCAAATTTGCAGGATCATATATGGAGCGTCTCATGTCACTAAATAAGATCAAAGACACATACAAAACTTCAGTTACAGATGTTGAAAACTGGTTGGCTGAAGCTAATAGCAAACTTAAATCATTTGAAGATCTGCTATCTGGAGGTGCTAAGCCTATGCATGTTTATCAAACCAAACTAGAAGAGCTGAGAAAATTCACTGAGGAAAGAGAAAAAGGTCAGGCATTGCTAAATAAGGCTGTAGAAACAGGTGAAGCACTTCTCTCTGGCATAACACCAGAAAATCGTGAGACAGTACGTGCTGAATTGAGAAAACTGAGAGATGCATCTGAGTTATTAATTGATGAAGAAAATGCTTTATACAAACGTGTTGAAGGATTTATGATGCAAAGGTCATCCTTTGAAGACAGTTATGGACAAGTAAGCAAGTGGCTGACAGAAGCTGAAGCTAAAATTGGTAGCAAAATGGATCTGAAGGCAACATTACAGGATAAAAAGATTGCAATGCATAACTATAGAACCTTGGCTCAAGATGTTAACACACATAAAAATATTATGAATCAACTGAAAGAGAAACTAGGAGCGCTCTCAGATTCTGATGCCACTACAAAATTTAACAACGTACTTACCTCTTATGAGAAACTGTCAAATAATGTTGAGGAGAGGATTGTAGTGGCTGAAAGACATGTTTCTGACCATGAAACATATCTTCAGGCTCTCGAGAAATCCCGGGACTGGCTAAGCACATTATCTGCAGAAGCTGCTGCTGTTACAGATGAAACAGCATTAGAAAAAGAAGGTGCTGATGCAAAACTTGCCATCATTGAAAATTTGCTACATCACAAAGAAGAGGGAGATCAGCTTATTGAAACTTGTCATAAGCAGCTTCAAACTGTCCTGGAACAGACAAACATATCAGGTCATCCAAGTTTACTGAAGGAATTTGAGGATCAGAAGAAAGCTTGGGAAGCATTCTTGGTACGTTGCACTGATGCACAAACCAAATTACGTCAGCTGTGTAGCCATTGGACTGAATTTGAGGAAACTGTAGATGTTCTCACAAGTTGGATCAAACAGAAAGAATCACAAGTGAAAGATCAAAGTTTGAGGAGCACTCAGGAAGCGAAGCAGGCCCATCTTGACAAGTTGAGGTCTACTGATGAAGAAATCTTTGCAAAAGGTGAAGAGTTCAACAAAGCATCTGAACAGAGTCAGTCCATAGAGGGAGAGTCCGAGTTGTCAGTGAAGGTGTCTCATCTGTTAACACGCTATCAAGGCCTCAAGAACCTTACCAGGGTAAGGAAATTGATTAGACAGAAATACGTGTATTAAAATATTCATTGAAACAGAAAAATAAGTAAACAAACTCATTGTTTATCATACAGTAATAGGGGATTTAAAGTCACGTTCCTTGGGGCTGCTGGGATTAATGGTTTAGTGGTATGCTAGTGTGATGCCTGGCCAGCTAGAACATGGATAGAAAATGACAGGTTAAGAAACAAGGAACATTTACAAATAAAATTAAATGTTATTAAAAACCTGGTTTAGAATTGTGTTGAATTTCTAAGCTAATAAACTTCTGCAATATTTGTAAATATAATTGGGATTTATTTAAACATCAATTTTAAATTAGTGTTTTTAAGATTTCACATTTACGCAGAATATTAGAATTTTGAACTGAAACTGGAAGTTTATTTCTGTGTATCTGTGTTGACTGCATTAATATTAGAATGAAAAGATTTCCTTTAGTATTCAGTTTAGCAGAAACAGATGTTCGGTAGCTCCTAATGTATGTATTAACTATAAAACTAGTCCTGCTATTGAGTTGACAAGTTTATCACCAACATTGAAATGAAATAGTTATTTCTTATATTTCAAACCCAATGCATACATCCTCCATAACTGAATATTACTTTCTGTTATTTCACCATTAGGAAGCAGTATCAAGATACGAACAGTATGTGAAGGAACACAGAGGTTTCAATGATGATCACAATGCATTCTTGGAATGGCTGTCTAAAGTTGAAGAAGAGCTCAAGGAACTTAGCCAGATAGTTGGAGACTTGGCTGTTTTGCAGGTATATTTATAATTTAGGGGACTAAGTAATGGAAATGCTATATGTAGAATTATACCATCACCTCATTTTTCACAAGAGAATGGACATTCAGTCTGAGGCCATGTGTAACATTTTGTGGGAGGGTGTGGGTGTAGAATTTGAGGCTCTCATAGCAGTGAGTATAAGATTTATGTGTGTCAGGATAGGAACTGGTGGTAGGCTGTTGTGAACAGCCATCAGCCTTTGGGTTCTGTAAAAAGTGGGGAATTTGTTGACTAGTTGAATGACTGTCAGGTCCTCAAGAATGTCTTTTCTGCATGGAGTCAATTAAAGAGAACATCAATATCACCATTGCTTCTGTAATACTTTTGGAGAACAGAGTACCTCCTTTGAATATTTCACAATTCAGAGATAGTGTCAGAAAACATTGATCTATTTTTCTTGTGTGGCTGTTTGTGATGTATGTGGATGATAATTTTGTGATCAAGACTGGTCATCTCATTAAATGGTACTGTCAGTAAGCAGACCAGTAATTTAATTCACTCTTGAAGTGAGAGAAAGAATGAATTGCATTTAGGGGGGTGGTAGGAAAATAAACATTTCTAGCATTTATACTTGATGACATAGATAGTTATTATGTTCTTGTGAAACATTCTCTTTTTCAGGAGCGACAGAAACAAATTCGAGAGTTAGCAGATGTGAGGTCAAGAGAAAGTCCTAGATTTGATGCATTAATAGACTCTGGCGAGAAGCTTTACACTCACACATCTCCAGATGGAAGAGAAATCATTAGACAACAGCTGAGGTATTACAGACTTTAGTGAATGATTCAGTCTTTTAACTATGAGTAGATGATAATTTCTTAATCAACCGTACGTTTTACACATCATCATTGACATTGAGTTGTATGTCTGAATGTTCTTCATATGGTTAAATGGGTAGAAGATACTACATTTTTCAGACATCTAGTTTTTTTTGCAGTTATTATAGCCACTTCAGTGAACACTTCTCACATTGCAACAAATCAGTTGAGGTATATACTCTGTGTAAAACTTACTTTGTTATTGCAGAACCCTTCGTACTTTGTGGGATAATTTCTCTGATGATCTGCAAGCTGCAGCGCACAAACTTGAACAGTGCTTGATGCAATTTGCTGAGTTCACTTTATCTCAAGAGCAACTGACCAAATGGCTAAAAGACGTAGAGCGTGCCATGACACAGCATACTGAGCTCAAGAATTCTCTACAGGAAAAACGGGTGCAGCTCCAGGTAATTCCCCACTTCATTCCACTTATAAAACTATGAAAATAGCAATCAAAATATTTAAAAATGTATTGGAAAGTAAACTAATAGTAGTGTATTGTATTTTCAGAATCATAAAATTATGCATCAGGAGATCATGTCTCATCAGCAGCTTGTAGAATCAGTCTGTGATAAAGCACAGCAACTAGTTGACCAGACACAGGACAAGTCTCTTAACATCTATCTACAGTCTATCAAACAACTATTTCAAAATATTGTCATGAAATCACAGGTAATAAGTTAATTGTAAATATATGGTAGGTTTGTTTCCTTATGCTCAGCATGTGTAGGAATGTGAACATTTTCTTCATTACATCATAATTTTCCATGTTTTATGTGTGCTGATAATGTGGTTAATGGAATTGATTGCTTCAATTTATTCTTTTATTTTATAGGATCTCCTAGATAATCTGGAAGAATGCGTTCAGAAACACAGCCACTTTAGTACCTTATCCAAAACGTTTCAAGACTGGCTGAGAGTGGAACAAGAAAATCTTCATGACTGTGATGATATTAGTGGAGAGAAGGCTGATATCAGCAAACGAATTACCTCTGTGAAGGTAATATTTGACTGAACATTTAATGAAGATGGTTGTGTTACACAAGGTCAAAAGAGAATTTTATTTAAATAGGCTTAAAATGTTTGAGAAAATTCTTATTTTTTGCAGATGAAAATAAATTATTTAGGTCTTTAAATACATAACACTAAAGTACAGCTCTGGTAAGTATGGTATGGATTTAGTTAATCTTAACAACATATGTATCTTATGTGGGAAACTTTGAAAAGAGAAGTTGGCTGTTCCTCAAAATAATATCTGTCCATATAATCAGCTTTATGTGAAACTTAACATGTTTGTCTGTACTTCAGTTACTTATAGAGACGTGTGTTACAGATGCTGAGAGATAATCAGAACCAAGGCGACAATCAGCTGACACAACTACGAGATCTGTGTGGGGTAGTAAGCAAAAGCACAGCCCCTAAAGGCACTGAAATTCTGGAAAAGGAAGTTAAAGATTTAGAATCAAGTTTGAAAGAACATCTGTCAAGAGTCGGTTAGTAAACATAAAAGAAACTAAAAAATACTTACATGTGAAACACCCTTCATATGATTAGAACATGTTTCTAATACCTAACAAAATGGTGTCTAGGTTTGAGTGTCTGGCTTCCTATTTCTGATTAATTTTGTTAACATATGTATAAGAGTGTGAGTAATGTGCATGTGTGTATGTGTGAAGAGGGGCACAAATGTGATAGTGAATTATTATTCTGATGTGTTTGGGACAAGTAGTTCTATTTTTTCAGGAAACATACATACAATTAAAAGGTACATACATATTACATCTCACTTAACCTCATTTTTAGCAACAGATTTCTAATTTGTTTATTATTTTATGTTTTATAAAGAAATATTTCAGTATGTCATACTGTTTTCACACTGTCAGATAAAAGCCTGTACCATTGATGCTGATGGGGATTTTCATGATTTACTTCAATAACAGCATGCAGCTATTTCAATAAATAGGACAAGTCACAGCAGTTTTCAGCCTACTTTCCTTTCTGAATTTGGTAATGGGTTAATTAAACTGTTACACTCAGGAAATCATTTCTCAAGAATGACTTTGTAATGGAGAGTATGAATGTGTCAGCATTCAGAAGACAAAGTTTCATAGCCATGTGAATTAAAAATTATGACAGCATGTTTTCTACAATTATGTAATGTTAGCAAGTGTTCTGTCATTAGTTAAATAATTACTATATTTCTAGATGCTGTTGAGTCTAAACTTGAAGGAGCACTGAAGCAGTGGCTAGAATTTGAAGATCAGCTGGATAAACACACAAAATGGTTCCGTACAACAGAAACCATCTTCAGGGACCAACAGCTCCAAGCAACATTGGCTCAGAAAGAAGCACAACTGGAGAGCTTCAAAGGAAAGAGAGACCTTATTACAGCAAAAGAGAAGGAAATTGATAACTTTGTGGATTGCTCACATTCATTGCTGAATTACAGCAGAGCTGAGAGAATCAAACCACTCATTTCACAGATCAGCAATAGGTGTGCTCATTATTTTAAAATAGCATATTTTTAAGCAGCGGTTTGCTTATTGTAATTTAAAGCTTAATTTAAAATGTCTCAATTATCAACCTTTTGGTTTTGGGGACAAGGTTCTGATTTTATTGTACTTTAAGGACATACATTCAAGACGATGTGGATTTTTCAGCCTGTCATACTTAACCTGTACCTCAGCCAAAGAATCATACAGTGGTTTTGAAATCCAATTCAGACTGTTTGTCAGAAATGCTTATCATCCTAATTTATTGCCATGTCATTGGGAGTGTTTAGTTATAATATGTACAAATCATATTTTTATAGATATCAGAATAATGTCATAGACAAGATTTTCAATATTAGAAAATAACACTATCTGATACGACTTCTTACATAAAATGTATTATAATTACACAACTGTTCAACAGTGTTGACTGTATGTTCGTTTCTATTTCAGGTACCAGTTATTACATGTTTTAAGTAAAGAGGTCATTAATCGGTGGCAAGGATTGGTGGATGATCATCGTGTGTATGAGGATAAACTTCAGGAGATAATAGCCTGGCTTGGACCCCTTGAAGAAAATTTGTTATCTTTGAGGAAAGAGGATTCAACAAACAATATGGAAGCAAAGTCAAATAGATTGCAGTTTCTTTTGTCAGAACGAGAACAGGCCACTCACAAACTGACCAGTGTCACAGCACTGGGAGAAAGACTGTTCCCTGATACAGCAGCTCAGGGCAGAGAAAAGATCAGGCAAGATCTGCGGGAAGTGAGAGACAGGTGAGGGGGAACTTTTATGCAAGTTGGTACTTTGTACTGGACCATTTGTTGAAACATTTGTTATGCGAATTTTCAAGTTCTTTCAGTAATTATCAGTAACAAGCTTCACATCTTTAAGCAATATTTATAGGCAGAAGTTGGTATCTAACACTTGTGTGTGAGAGAGAGGGGGGATTGAAAGGGACGGGGAAAGGGGGGCAGAGAGAGGGGCTGCGTAGACTGATAAACTGTCAGTAAATCATATTGGTACAGTTAGTTGTAGAACACAGTTGTATATTAATTGGTCTTGGTTGAATTAGAATATTTCATGAAGATGACTTCTGGGTAGTCTGGTAGATGTTTACTGATGTTTTAGAGGTGCTTGCTGTTTCCTTCTTCAGGTTGATGAATAAACTCATTGCTCTGAAGATATAAGTAGCAAGCACCTCTGAAATATCAGTAAATATCTATCAGACTACATAGCACAATAATCCAGAAGACAGTTATCTTCATACTCACTACCATGAGAACCCGAAATCTCAACAGTGTCTCATGTTTTGAAACTTTTATTGTCTAGATGGGACCAGCTTGAAGAAGGAATTAAGGAACAGCAGAAGAGGCAAGATGCTCAATCTTTGCAATGGAGTAGCTATCAAGAAACTTTACAGCAAACACTGGCTTGGCTTGATGCCATGGAGAAGACACTTCAGCAAGATCCTGCTGTCTCTTGGGTGTCTACACAGGAAATACGCTCCAAACTGCTCAAACATAAGGTAAAATGTGTTGTACTCTATAGACCTGCTTTTTAATTAAAATGACTGAATTCGAGATAACACCAAAATTTAACAAAACAATATGAAACATCAAATTACAAATTATTTTGTTTTGCTATTGTTTTCGTTTCTCATGAGGTGACTGTGTGAGGTTTGGGGATGGACTGGCAGTCTGCTTTGTGTGACTTTCAAAATATCACTGAGATTTTTTCACTTTGAGATTATGATTCTAAGAGAATATGTTGTTAAATATCTTGAAAGGTTAAAACTCATAGTTTGGGTATCCTATATTTGTTCATAATAATTCTTCATAATTGAAATGTGGGTAATTCTTGAATTTTTAAAACAAATTATGTAACAGGATGGGTACCTGAATAGATAAAGTTAAAACACATAAGCATATTTACAGGGTAGGCCTAAGTCATTGATCAAATTCAGTGGTGTTAGTTTGGATGTGAAGTAAAATTGTATTTAAAATATGGTCCTAGCACTATTTCTGATTTGTAAAAATATCACAGTTTTATTACTGTATTTCTGATTAGACAACTCTTCAAGAAGTGATAACTCATAAGCGTGTAATTGAAGCTGTGACCGAGAAAGCGCAAGCCCTAGTCCTGCTGACAAGTAACAAAGATGGAGGAAAAGAAGTGCAGGAAACTGTTGATTCAATAAACAAACGCTATGAAGAATTGGTTAACAATTTGCTGGTTACAATCACTCAGCTTGAAGAATCACTAGATGCATTCCAGCAGTTTCATGACCTGCAGAAATCACATCAGGATTACCAGAAACAACTCTGGGACAGACTTTCAGGCTATTCGGGTAAGAACAACTTAAGGTAATGTGATGAGTAACTCCTTTCATTCTACGACATACAGTTCTCTAAAAAAGTAAATAATGATGTTGAACACTGACTACATAATTCTTTCATTATTTATTTGCTTTATTTTACAACACTATATAAAATATAAACAAAATATTTTTATTCTTAATGAAGATCAAATGATTGCATAATTTCTGTGTATTTATGGGTTGCATGTATATAAAAATGTATGAACTTGTTCTTGTTATATGGTCGTGATATGTTGTTGCAGACTACAGTGGCAATAAGCCTGCTCTGCAGTCTCGTCTGATGAAGATAGTAGAGCTTCAGGATAGTGTTCCAGAAGGCCAAGCAAAACTGAAATCCCTTAGTGACCATGTAGCCAATAAGACAGACAAGCTTCCACTTAGAGCCAAAGAAGTCATGGAGCGAGACCTGGCCAATCTGAAGTAAATACTCTAATTTTTCTCTTACAAAAAGATATTAGACAGTGAAAGTCTCATATTATGGATAATATTTGACAAATCAATATATTTATTAACCTGTCAATATGTATTTCCACTTCAAGTAGCCTACCACAGGAAACTGTCTACACTTTTTATTGATATCAGTATTCGTTCCATGAAGTAATGAATTGTTCAAATATCTGAAATATAACTGAACACTAAAATAGTTGAGAAGGCACAGTTAAACAAACCAGCAAACAGACTAACTGGACCTTAACTGTATTTGGAAAGCCAAAATGTGGCAAAGTACTTTGTAACAAGCTATAAAATAATGTTATCCATATCTCAATAAAAGAAAGTAAAAGTAATTATTAACATTATTTTCAGAATTGTAATGCCATTTATTGTTTCCAGATTTGATTTTGAGAAATTTGTAGCTGCATTAAATGATGTCGTCCATGGGCTAGAAGAACGGCTCCAGCAGTGGTCAGAATATGAAGGTTCCTTCGATCGCCTCCTCTTCTGGTTATCAGAGTCAGAAACAGCCCTTAAAAATTATGCGCCACGGTCCTCACTTGAAGAGAAACAAGAACAACTTGAAAAGTATCAGGTATATAGTACCAAAAAATGTTGTGACAGTGCTGTCTGCAGAATAGATTAACTACTTAGACTAAAACCTACATGTTACTTTGGTTCCTTGAGTCCAAATTCTACCTTTCCTTTGTAAGGATTTTTCCCCCCTATTTGTAGGCCTATGCTGCACGTCCGATTCATGTAATAGTCGAGGACTGATCTATTAAAATATTTTTAGCTGTGACATATGGTAGCATTATTTCACAGTAGAAACTCTATTTGATTTCAGATTATCTGACATACTCATATATCAATCCCCCACATTCTGATTTTATCTTCACACATTGTATCATGTTTAAAAATTAATAACTGTAGTAGTAGTAGTAGTAATTAGGCTGATACATGGAAACACATATTTTTGGCATGTTCATATGTGTTTTATTAAAACTACAGAAATGCTAAAATATGAGTCATAGGCTGAATCTATACTAGAAAGTATGCAAGAAATTTATCATTGAATAAAATGATTAATTTTCAGTTCTTGCTCTACTCGACTCATAAATAGGAGCATTTGAAGGAGAGAAGACATTATATATGTTCTTCCCAGAACTTCTTGCTCATTTCAGAATCCAACTTACAAATGAAGTAAAAGCATTTAAGCACTAAAGGAAAAGATGTGGAATTCAAAACTGTGTGTCAGAATATCCAAATGCAGACAGTTGCTGCCGAAGGACTAAATAAATCTTAGCTTTTAAGGTTGACTGTTAGATAGTATGTTTCTACTGTGAGCAGAATGTGTTTGCTATATTCAGTAACGTTTTATTATAGCATTATTTCTGTTTTGTATGGATCAGTGGATGCAACAGTTTCAAATGGATTTTGTAGCATTCTGTTTTTGCTTTGAAATATTTCACAAGAGTGTATGTACTTGTATGTGGTAATTTTCACTAAATACATATATTTTTTAGAGTTGCTTCAGTTAAAATCTGGAGTCAGATGGAAATATATTTTTCCAATTTTGTAAGGACATTTTTTAAAACTACTTATTTTTTATTTGTAATTTTGAATCCATATAACCTGAATTCTATCCCAGTAGAAGAAACTAATGGAATAACATTTAATAACCGTAGTTTATGTATACATGCTGATGGTAAAAGCCATGAATTATGCTTTTTAATTGGCATATATACATTTGATTAATAATGTGTGTTTTAATGTTGTTATTTATCCTTTAGGATCTCATAAAAATAGTTGAATCCAGAAATAGAGATGTGAAGGAAATTGTTACCCTAGCCGATCATCTTGAACAAGTAAGAATTTTGTGTGGCATTTTCAACATATTTCTTTTTTCGGTTCTCAGTAGTTCTGTACCTTAATCTGTAATTTCTTTCTTCAACTGTCCAATATGCCTTAAATCATAATTGTATCTAGCCAACATTTCAAATTATTCTATCTTGAAGGGCAGTGTTTGTACAGATTTTATTGTTTTCATCTTGTTTATAAATTTTTAACATCACATGGACCTTTCTGTGTCTGTGACAGTTGATACACCTCACACGAACAGTATACATTGCATCAAACATATTTATTGACTTTGGAAACATAGTTTAAAATTGTCATACCTGTTGCTTGAAGTGGTATAGTACCACAGTATCTAAAGTGATTCTGTAGGTCTGAGGTACTAAGGTAATACATAATTTAAAAAATCCTTCAGTTTGGTGTCTGGTGTGCAGTTATGATAAAAAGGCTTTTAATTTTGTTTCTTTTGCATCACAGACAGTATGTTGTAAGCACAACAGTTTTGATTTAATTCAACATTATTTTGCTAGAAATAGTATGATATTCATTACTTGTGTATATGCTGTATTAGCATAGAATGCTGCAAATATGTAAAACAATTTTTCAAAATAATTTGTTCTTATTATATGTATCTAGTGGTGAGATTAAGAATATGTGGAACTATACCTCCACTACCCCATATGTATTCATGGCATGGTGCTTAATTAAGTACAGAGACAGCTTTTGCCTTTACCATTTTATGGTAATGTTGGTACTGCTATGACACGCTGTTTGTGATGGACCTAGCCTGAGGTTGCCCATGGTGCAGTTCTAAATTATTGTCGAAGTAGAGGTATACTGAATATTGTGCTGCGGCTACAGCAATTTTATTTTTGGAATTGAGAAATGTCCAAATAGGAACAGATTTATAAAGTTACATGTTTAAAGGCAATAATGTTTATTTGTAAATGTGATATAATTTCTTTAATGAAATTGCAAAATGTGGCAATCATGGTTATGTCCTTTGCACCATATGGTATCATCTTTATTTCTGTAATAGATTTCTATGTTTTGATTTTAATTATTTACTCATCTTTATTTTATGTGGTTTCCTGATATTATTTTGTTTTGTTTTGTGTGTAGTTAATTTACATTTTCCTTTTAAGGGCTTGAGAGATGATGATCTGCATCAGTCAGTTTTGGAAGATTATGATTAAAATAATGTTTATTTTATAATGTGTATTGGGTTTTATATTTGACTAAAACACCTGAAGATCACAAAATCTTGCAATTTAGTTGACTGGTTTTACTGTTGGTAAATCTTGGAGCTTTGACAATATATTCATTCTCTTCCTGTCTAAATTTCCTTAATTTTTTGCATATCAACTACAGATATGATAATAGATTACTCTGTAGACTTAAATATCAGCTTTAAGAATGTTTAATATTGCTGTCTCCTGGGTTATTGCGCCATGTAGTCTGTTAGATTTCCACCAATCAATTGGCACTTTCATCGTCCTGATGACAGAGGCAGTATATCTGTAGTGGGGGAAAAATTCAAATATCACTTTTGTAAATCAACAGTGATCATGTTTTCTTTCTTTTGTTTATATGTATTAATATTGCCTATGACTATATCTTGTATTGTTTGTTTACATATTATAATTGATGAAAATGTACTTTTCATTTGCAGTCTTCGTCTTCGCATGTGTGTGCAGTTGTATCAAAGCATTCTTTGTATTCCTACTGTGTAGACTGTTATAAAATATTGCAGTATACAGATAATTTTACTGTAAAAAGTATTTCTTTCAGCAGTGGATATTATTTTCATATTAGAAACAGCTTAATGAATGTGTATAATTTACATTAAAATGTATGGTGGTTTTCATAATAATAAAACAGGCAGTCTTCATTTCTTGTCTGTTGAAACATGAAAATAAAATAGAGAAAAGTTAGTCACATACATAATAATTCAGGGGGAAAATGTATGGTAATAATTTTATGTTTTGTTTTGATGTAGTCTTTGATCCTGAGCTTGCGACAAAATGAAGCAGAATTTGATAAGATGAGTGACGATTCATCAGAATTGGTTCAAATCAGTGGTGAATCCAGGATATCCGTTAATGTTCAACAGATCACATCAAGATTTCAGTCCATTCAGACCACAGCCAAGGTGAGACGGTTTAGCATTCTGTAAGTTATTATAATCATGTTAATGAATAGTATAAATCCATTTTTACTTGAATAAAGGAAACTTCATTCAAATCTGTTATACAGGTTTTGTCATTTGTTTTATAATTCAAAGTGGGTTATTCATTGTATTATTTCATTGACTTGTTCAGAAGTCTTGTACTTTGTCATCTACTCACTATTTGATGTCCACTGGGTAACAGTGTTATGTTGAGGTTGTACATTTGTGATGAAGAACCTCCATAACAGTGATTTATTAAGAAGATGGCTGTCTTCCATCACAAATGTATAGTTTTATAGAAGTTTACCACCGTTTCAGAGGTCCTTGCTTCCCCCATCATCAGGGTGATGACTCATCACCAGACTGTATGGTGCTACAACTCAAAAGATAGCCATCTTTGGACTCACTATAGTGAAAACCTCAAATTCTATTTCAATTTGGCATTGTTTCCTTTTTCTATACCTCAGTGGTAAAACAATATTATTATTTCTTTTAAATTTAACTGTCACCAGTATTTACTTGGATAGTGGCAGTGCTGTTTTATAGGAGACGAAGAGTGGCAGAATCAACCTGTTAACCAATTTGTGATTTTATTAGGACATCAGAGGATGAGGATGATGGAAAATTAATCCATTAAATCTTGATTTAACACATGCATTTTAAGAGTTTCCACATTGGTACAGCTCTTTAAAAATCATCATTTTAGACCTAGGAAATGCAGTGGTTCTACCTTTGTTACGTTGGAGGAATGTTGAAAACCACCTCTTGACCACATGATGTCGCATCACATCCCAGAAGACCACACTCATTATTTAAACCAAACTTTACTCCTGTTATGTGCCTATATTAGCAATACATCCTTCCAATTTACATTTTATAAATACTTCATTACACTTTATATATATATATATATAAGCAAAAATCTGATTTCTGTAGGAAATTGTCAAGAAGTGTGAACAGGCAGTGTCAGACCATGAAGCATACCTGGACAAGTACCGTCAGTGTTCAGAATGGCTTGCTGCAGCTCAAGGAAGATTTGAAAGTTGTCGAGATGGAAGTTCGATTGGTGCAAGACAAGATCTAATTCAACGTAGTGCTGGTCTTAAAGACCTGCTGGCAGAACAGCCAAGTGCAACATCTCTTCTGAACAGTACAGTGGAGTTAGGGGAGAAATTGTATCCGTCTACAGCCATGGAAGGCCGGGAAACTGTGCGGCAGCAATTGCAGGAGTTGCAACAAACTTTAGAGACCTTGTATGATGGGGTTTCCAGTACAGAGAGAGAACTGCGAGCTAAGCTTAACAGGTTAGTGGTCATTTTATCTGTACAGGAGCAGGTAATGAAGGCATTGTTAACCCTTTGTGTGGAATATCTAGATATCTTAGATACTGATGTTTCTGTGTTATGCGAATACATCCTAGTGATAATGTAATAATTTATTGATAATTGAAAAAATCCTATATAAAAAGTACTTGATGTATATTACAAATCCATTGCTGAAGGAATTGTTAAACATATTTAATCTTAATGCTTGTAGAACATGTCTCATTTTCTGTCCATTGTGGTAGGCACCCACACAAATATTGCATATTTGAATTGACATATATTGTCGTTTGGTGACATGTACGATTCTGTGACTTACTGGTAGTTGTTAGCACTCTATGTACTGGATAGGGCTGGAGAAATTTGTGTTATATTTTAATTTTGTCTCATAAAGTCCTTTCTGCCATCTATATACTCCTTTCTTGACAAAATCATCTTTATATTGAAATTTCAGATGGACTGGCTTTGAAGAATGCAGTGAGAACTTGCATAGTTGGCTTCAAGAAACTGAAGCTCAGTTGCCACAAGAACTGGAGCTTAAAACCACACTTGATGAAAAGAGAGCACAACTTCAAAGCTACAGAGCTTTGCTCCACGATGCTGTGTCGCATCAGCAGGATATTGTGAATCTCAGGGACAAGATTGAGAGCCTACCTGAACGGACTGAAAAGATCGATCAGATGCTTGCAACACTCACTCAGCAGCACAGTAGCATTCTTAAGCGAGCTCAGGTGAGTCAGAGTTGAAAGAGTGAGATCTCAGCACACCACAGTTGCCAGTTATACTGGCATGATTATTTAATTGTAGTGAGCTATATGCAGACTGCATGTAGGTCTTCATATATAGTGGCTGTTATTTTTGGATAATTTTAACCAACTGGAATTTGTTGTCAAATTTAAATAAACCTCTAAAATATAAAGTTTTATTAAAATATGTTAATTGGTTCTTGAATTGTTACAGCTAGACTGAGAAGACAGACATGGTGAATGAAGTTAATAGGGAATTTCTTTAAACTTTTCTTTGTGAACACACCTGAAAAAATTAAGCATAATTCAATTCAATTCAATTCATGACAATAAACATAAACAATATTAACTTAGAAGAGGTAATTCATGAATGGAAGTATTTTCAGACATGCATATTTTATATAATCATTTGATTATACTTGTGTTGACCTATTTAATATAATAATCATTTACAGTTCTTTCCTTTTTATTATCTGAATATTTTGTTTCTTTTAATATTAATGTTCTATGTTATTAATAGAACTTTGTGGAGAGATATGAAGCTATAGTGAGTGATCATCAGCAGTACAGCAAAGCTGTGATGGACACTCAGGAATGGTTGGATGCCACCCACAACACAGTCTTGCTCTGGGGTGACGTGGATCTTGAAAGAATTTCTCTGCACACAAATTTGGAAAGACTCAAGGTAATATAGGCTTATTTAGTAGTTTTAAAATACCTTCTTTCAGATGATACTGAAATGAAACAAGTACAACTGCAACAGAAATGTTATTGTATATTTATATTGCTTTACTTATATTTAGGGACATTCTTGTATGACAGTAAATACTAACAACATATTGATTAAACTAAGAAAATATGTAGGATATATGCATTTCAAGACATGCACATTCAACAGTGGCAACATGATGAGCTGTTTTTTGATATTAGATTCCAAACCTGATTAAACTAGAGAATGTGTAGAATTTATAAATTAGTCTGGCAATGAAAGCAATAAAAGAAACTAAACAACTCCACGTAGCAGAACTCTTCTGAGAAGTTATTGTCACTCAGGCATGGAAGAAATTACCAACTTGTATGGAACTCAAAGGTTCATTAGCATGTTTACAGGATCCTGCAGCATTAACTAAATTGTATATTTGTTACATTTTTTTGTTAAATTCAAGAACCTCTGTTTAATGTTTTCCAGTGTTTAATATTATTTTTATTGTCTATATTTAAATTTGTTGTTAGAATCTGCAACTGAGCTTGCCAGAGGAAGAGCCAAGAATTTGTCAGATCCGGTCTCTTGGTGAGAAGGTTCTACCAGGTACAGTTGAGTCAGGTCAAGTAAACATCAGAGCACAGATTGATTCTTCACAACAGGAATGGGAGGGACTCATTTCAGCAGTCAAGTGAGTCACATTTAATACACTGTAGTTTCTTAAACTAGTCCGATACATATAAACAGTGTTAGGGCAAAATGCAGCATAAATGACAAGACTAAGAATATTTATTTTTGCTGTACTGAATAGAATCATTATGTAATTTTCATATTATAAAATTTATTAATTCGAATAAAAATCATTGACTTTGAATAAAGGAGTATTCAGTTACCTGATCTTTATTGTTTATTGTCACTTGCTGGGTATTATAGTTCATATGTTGGTAATAACTGGGGCCACTAAAACACCAATATTCAAGTATAGATAAAGTGTGAGCAGTAGTTGGCAACATTTGTACAGCGTCCTTCCCCACCTGATGTTGAGATACAGTAATGAAGCATTGTCATCTCATAAAAAATTATTCTCCTTTTTTAGATCTACAATTGAGGCCTTGGACACAAAACTTCAACAGTGGAATGAATATGAAACATTGAAGGACCAGTGTATGACATGGATTAGAGAAACAGACACAAAATTGCATGCTGTAGACCTTAAAGCTACATCACAAGAGAAGAAGGAACAACTAGAAATTTTGAAGGTAAGCTACATTACTAAGTCAGAAACATTCACATGCTTCTGAAAATTATGACTATGAATTACAATGTAACATCAATATAATAAGAATGCATAATCTTCAAGCGTACAGTACAGTCTGTGAAAAAGTTTATGGAAAAGGTTGTAGCTAGTTAATAATTGCTGATTATGATCAGGATTCCAGAAAATCCTTGTTTTATGCAGTATTTTGTGTATTTCAACATTAAGAAATTAATGGTGTCAGTGAATTTGTTTGCTGCAATGAAGTTTTTCTTATAGGTTGTAGTTGCTGGATTGTGGTTATACTGTTTTGTGTATTAAATATGAAGGAAATAAGGATGTACTAATATGGGTTGTCTTTTCAGAACCTTCAAGGAGAAGTTCGGGCTAAGGAACTAGAGATTGATTCGGTAACAGAGCGAGCACAGCAACTTCAAAAGGGCACTATGAGCAGTCGTAGTTCTCAGATTTCTGAGTTGGGACTCAAGTATCAGCAAGTCTCACATAAAGTGAAGGTGAGTGTTTGTATCAAATAATCTGCGTACTGCTCCTTAGCTGCTTGTAGGGACATAAAAGTTAAAATTTCTTAATTTTGTGAACAACTGATCGGGTTTTTGTAGTGAAATCAAGCATTATGTAAAATGCTGTAAATGTACTACTTTGGATCTTGATGAGCGAGGTACAAGCAGTAACCTAGAGTGTGAGTGTGTTCATGTCACAATACATTATTCATCATTGTCATCAATGCACCTTGCAATATGAAAAACAAAGCATTATTAATATGTTTTTCTTTGTATGCTTTGTGCATAGGACCTCACCAGCCGATGGCACCAGTACGTGACAAGTCATTTGGAATTTGAGAGTCACATCGCAGAATGCACACAGTGGCTTGAAGACATAAAGAACAAGTTGGCATATTGCTCAGACCTAAGTGCTTCCTCACAGAAAGATCTTGAAGGAAAATTGGAAACTATTCAGGTAAGAAAGTACATGAAACATGTATTAGCACTTATAGTCCGCGACTGTAATCTTTTGCGGGGTGAGGAAGTGGGGTGAAGGAGGAAGGAGGAAAGATAGTGTCGGCCTTTAATGCTTCAGACTTCCTGCATTCCTTGCAAGTCTCAAGATTACAGTCGCGTACTGTAGTTCTGTTGTTTTTTATATCTTTAGATAATTGTTTTGATTATTATATTGAAATTTCCACTTATGTGGCTTGTCATTTCATCCTTTTCTGTCTTCACATAACTTCTGATCCTGTATTTGTACTCAATCTGTTATTGCTGTTCTGATACCCTTGTCACTTCTTTATGCCACCCCATCCTTTTCTGTACATTTTGCATTTATCATGCTTTCATTTGACAATATATAATTTTATTCATGATCTATTAAAAGTGTTGTGAAATAAACCAAGAATAAAATACTAAAGCTCAAGCCATCTTACTCATAACCGAGGTCATGCCAACTTTTGTGACAGGGTCTGCCATTCGTATGAGTACCTTATTCTAAAGTTTTCTCATATCTCATTTCATACTTCGTTGCTTCTTTACTTTGGTCATGTGTCACAGAATTGCATTAGTTGCTTGCTATCTAATTAGGCGTTGTTGCATTTTATTTTAGGATTTGCTGCTGTATAAAGAAGAAGGCTTTAGTAAAGTTCAAGGCACAATTGAGCTGGCTCAAACTGTTTTGGCTAACACTGCTCCTTCAGGTCATGATGCTGTTAATCAGATACTTGGAAAATTACAAGAGGAATGGAGTGCACTTGCCTCTAAGATGATGGAGACCAAGGTAACACACTGAAATCCAATTTTAAATGAATCATTCAACTATTAAAAAAAATAGAACAGAGGATAAAAAGCAAGACAAGATTTCTAATTATGACAAATTTCCAATAATTTATTTGACTACAGTTTTTGATATTTATAAATATTTTGAAAACTCACATTCTTCTGATAAAATTTACTTATAAAGAGGTTTAGAATTTGAACTCTTCTCACTGTAATCAGGATCTGTAGCTATTAGAAGTAACAAATCTGCAAATTTTATCTTTGAGTTCTTCTAACAGTTCCATAATTGAATCTGTACAGCTTCATCTCATATTAGAATTGCTGTTGTTAAATTTTCCATTGCTTTTTTATGGAATTTTAACAGGTTCTTTTTATTAAACATTTATTATCTTTCTGGGTGATGTTTTTTGCTAGTACTAAAAGTAATTTATCAGTTTACATGATAGTTATGTCCATAAATTAGCCTTCATATTAACTGGACATGCAAGAATAAGGAATAATAAGGACTGAGAAGAGTATATTAATTTAGATGAACAACTGTTGTTATGTCTGTATGATGCTGCCATATAAATTTAACATTATGCATTTATATTTTACAGACAATTTTGGATGATTCCATCCATCGGTGGGCCGGATTCCTTGAACAGATACATCAGCTAAATAAGACTGTTGAATACCTTCAGAGTGTGTCAAATGAAATCTCAGAGTTTCAAACTACTATGTCTGATAAAAGAGCTCAGCTTGAAAGGTTAAAGGTAATGCAGTTTCTTCACTGTATTAATTTGTATTATTGGTTTGTTATAATTTGATTTAAAAAGTGTTTTGCTGTTTTCATTTAGCCTTAGTGCAGGGTGCTGATGCGTTTTGTTTTCTTTGAGACATTTGTGCTTTGTTTTAGCAGTTATCCCAACTTTTTACCCAGCCACTAATTTTTGTCTCTTTTGAACTAGTTTTTCATTATGACAGGAAGCAATCATTATTTTCACTTACATGTCTGTATATTTGCTTTAATGTATTAATAATGTGTACATGAAACATTCCAATTTTTCATAAATACTTTTGTAAGTTACGTTTTAATATCATTTGTAATGGTGTTGTTTAAGGCTTAATGTTTCTAAAAGAGGTGACTAAGAACATTCATGAATAATGTAAATGATTAAATTTGAGGAGCTTCAAAGAGTGTATCAAAGTAATACTTGTAAGAAGTGTGTCCAAACTGCAAAACAAGAAAACATTCATCTCTGTACAAAGATGACTGTCTTCTGGATTGTAGCTCTGTGTAGTTTGGTATAAATCCTACTTAAATTGTCTTTCTCTCTCTCTGTCTTTTTTTTTAAAAAGCAAAGAGCACTCAATTCCTTTTTAAACCGATTTGATATGTACTTGTTCTTTAGCCTGTAGGCCATTTTTGCTTGTGCATGCCAATACAAACAGCTTACGGTAGAATAAGTACTCCATTCAGTGTCTCTTGCTACTATGTGTTTTATGTAACACCAAAAGACTGCATGATATTTTTTATGATGTTTCCTTTTATTTTATTTTAGTGCTTGGAAGAAAAAGTCCGTTGTGAAAAAATTGAAGTTGATAGTTTGAAAGCCAAGGCGACTGAAATGCTTGCCAGTGGACAGCAAAGCCATGCTGCATCTCAGGCTCAGGAAATTCTCAATAAGTTTGATACACTTGCTGAAAGGATTAAGGTAAGTAGTTGAAATTCAACATGTTATTTATAGTAGGTAAATTTTTCATTAATGATTTATATTTCAAATGACAAATAGTTTGTGAAATAATTTTTGCCTTCTGAAAAGTCAGCTTTATGCTGTTGTTATTTTATTATTGAAAATGTACTGTTATGAAGAATATGAAGGAATTATCAGGACAGTAAGCACTTGCACTCTGCTGTTTTATTACTGATGATATTTTTTTTCACAAGAGTAATTTTCATTTTTAGTGTTTGTTTATATTAAAACGAACGTTGTTTTAAATTTCTCACAATAACATACTTATCATGTTGTGTTTTAAAGAGAAATATGTTCCTGTTATGCATATAATGACTATAATGTAAAGTTTACAGGAATACATGTTAACATTTTCAGAACCTTCTATCAGAACGTGAAGATCAGTACAAGGATCATCGACTATATAAAGAAGCCTATGATGACCTGACTGGCTGGTTGAGCCGATCAAGAGAGAAGGTACCATCAATGAAGCAGCGACCTCTGAGTGACAAACTAGCTATTGAGAACGCTGTAGCACCACTGGAAGCCTTGTTAAATAAACAAGCACAGGGCGAGTTACTGGTTGAACACCTCCAGCATACAGGTGAAGTGGCCATAGCAAGCTCCTCACCACAAGGACAAGAGAACATCCGCAATGAGATTAGAGCTCTCCGGGAGAATTTTGAAGGGCTCTTCAAAGGTCAGTTTCTGAAAGCAGAAAATCTAAATTTTAATATAAAGTTATGATTGGGCTGAAAGAGGAAAAGTTATGGCTTTTTCTTATTGTGTTCATAGACCATTAATGTTTCTGATATTTCTTTGAACTTTGAAAGATTTGATAATTGTTAACAGCAAAATGATACTGAGTATGCTTGTAAAGCTACAAAATTGGTTTACTATTTAAAAACTGTTACAAATTTAAATTTTGAAGCTTCTGTAAGATTTGATCCAAAATATGTTTTGCCTGTGTAGTGTATATGTGAAAGAGTAATGAATTACGTGCTACAACCTAGTGAAGAAAATCTGTATTGTGTTGTATTTTTTGTCACTGAAGAAATAAAGCAGCAGAAGGAGCAACTAGAAGCAACTGTGCTGCAGTGGCGAGATTACAAAGAAGAATATGAACGTCTGTCTGACTGGCTTCAACAAATTGACATTCATGTGAAGGCCCATAAGACTGCTTTGCTATCTACACTTCAAGAGAAAACCAAACAAGTGCAAGATGTGAAGGTAAGATGATAAAAAAATTCAATATAAAATTGACTTAAATTTTTCTGTTATTATGATTCCAGGGTGTGATAAATCAGTATATATATATAAAAAAAAATGAAGCCAGAGTGTTTCTGTATTTGTTTTGGATGCACAGATGGGCTGATTATAGTGTAGTAGCTCAATGGGTAGTGAAAAATGATTTCATATTTGTTGTGCAAGATGTACTTCCTAAAATGTTTCCATTGTTTATGGGTTGTCTGAAGTGCAAACATGTGATTAAAATCCTTGAAATTCCACCAGTCTCCTGTTTTAAGAGTGACATGTACTTATTAAATTAGCAGGTGTGTGTAATGCACATGTTTGTGTGACTAATCAGACATTCAGCAAATATTGCGTAATCAAAATTGAATTATTTGCAGAAATTTATTGTTGCAATTGTATGGCAAATGATGATCAAATCTATGTATTTTTTGAGTAAATATAAAATTAGTAACTAAAATATTAAAAATACTAATATATATATATATATATA